TTGTTGTTGTTCATTATTATATATTATTTATTATTGCTGAAACTTTAATTATTTTATAATAATTTGTAAGCAATTAAAGTTATTATAATAAAATAAAAATAAAATATTATTTATAATCATTTGCCTTACATTTCCTCTGACATAATAAACAAACCTCATATGTTGTTGTTAATTATTATATATTATTTATTATTATTTATTAAAGCAATTAAAATAAAATGTATTTAAATAGATAAACATAATAATGAATAATTAAATATTAATAATTATAATAGTTATTATTATTGTTGTTGTTATTGTTATTATTAATTATATATTTATTATTACTTAGGCTTTAACTCTTTTATAATAATTTGTAAGCAATTAAAATAATAATAATAATAATAAATAATAGAAATAATAATAATAGTTTATAATAAAAGCTTTAACTCTACTTTTCTTTACCACAAAGTAGACATGAACTTTTCAGAAATGTTGAAAGACATTCAGCATTGAAAAGAAATTGATTGAATTCACATTGAAAGAAAATACAATAAAAGAGGGGCACAGGAAAGAGATTGTGGCATATGCATTTGTAATGCAGCCTAGTGGTAAATATGCCAAATTATGCTTTCAGTTGTTGATCTGATAAAGCTCAGTTATTGCTATAATAAGCATTTGCGTGTTAAATGTAATTCATAACAAAAATTAATTTGTTTTAGCACAGTCAGTTACACTTCCAATTTTAGTACCCATAAAGTGCATGACTGTTATGATGTGTTTCCTGTCTGTCGGCTTGGGTTGGGAATCAAGAAGCTGTTTTTCTGAACTGGTTCCATTATTTAAAAAATAAATAAATACTCGTTCTTGCCACAAATGTCTGCATTCTTCTGCAAATGTGGATCACATAAAGTGCTGCAGTGATGGTGTATTTTTGAAGGCCAACTCATTAGTTAGCATATATGCTTTTTCCATTGGTTTTTGTATTACTGCAAAAAATAAGTGACCAACAAAAATGTATGGTTCTTACACGTCTTTATCGTCATGATAATCTTCACAAATCAACACAACTTTTGCATTTTGAAGCATAAATACAATTACCAGAAGTAAAAAGCTAAATGTAATTAATCGAACTACACCACGGTCGCATGACTTCAACATTGCCACTATTAAGCTTCCCACAACTCTTCCAGCTTTTATTTAAAAAATACTTGTCCAGAAAGTTTTAGAATAGTTTGCAAGAGCACAATTATGAGCATAATGAGGTTGTGAAAACAGACTAGTGAACAGATGAGTTTACCTGTTTGCTGTGATGAAAAAATGTCCCGACAGCCTCTGTAGTCCCATTTAGCCACTAGTTAGCAACCGCCTTTTTCAAGACAAGTAAAAGCTTTTAAAAAATCACAAGGTTTTACTGATGTATTTTTGTGTCATAGAATACAACGTGAAAATATCTTGAGCTTGTTGTAACCACAGACCTTATTTCAGACATTTAAACAAAAACCCGTTTAAGAAACCCATTGATTTTAGAACGATGGAAGCAGAAGTGCTAAAATGTTAACTTGTTTCTGGGTTTTAGCCTACAAAAATATACTTCCCTGCAGAACTTTATTCTCTACCAATCTGAACTTAATGTGATGGAAAATCAGAGTGGCTGTCATGAAATAATTCAGAGGCCATAAATTGATGCACTTATATGATAAAATACGATAATAAAAGTTACACAATGTTTGTTTGTGATTCTCATGAGTTAGTTATTTTTAATGATTTGGCTAAAAAGTCATGTTTAGTCTAAACCAGTTGAGTGTTTTGTATGAATTTGCTACTTGTTTTACCTAATTTCTACTGAAATTGCTACTTTTTTATTGTGTTAAGTGCTTAAAATTGGTACTTGAATAAAAAATGAGCTAATTTGAGCTAATATAGCTAAGGCCATTTATAAGACAGTGGGTTCCTTCAAAAGAATCATTCATGGGACCAGAATCATTTGTTTAGAATCTGACTCATTAAATTGCTTACGATTCCCATCCCTGTTGCCATCAGAGTGTATTGATCCTGTTTGTGACGTGATTGCTTGAATATTTTGGTGTTGTGTTGTTCATTTTAGTGCGTTTTGTGCCAAAGTGGCTTGGTAACTGATCATTTTTGGGAGCTGCTGTGTGGCTTTTGTTGTGTGATTCATTGGCTAAATTTAACACAGTTATGCATTTGGTTTACAGCGGACAAGGAATTAATTTGCCTGATATTTTGTGAGTACCAGTGATATCATCACATGTCTGTGTTTGG